TTAGCTGCTATGTGGGTGCTGGGATTCGAACCCAGGTCTTCTATAAGAATAATCAATGTTCTCAACTGCTGAGCCATCTCTCCAGCCCCTACATACAGTATTTTTAAAATAAAACCCCTTACCTGTTCATTAAAAAGTTTTTAAAAATAAGATTTCAATTGTCTGTACATCCTACTATTCTGCATCTGGTTTTAAGCTGACTATAAACCCAAAGAACTTAGTGAACTTAAAATTTTCATACATCTTATATATTATATTATATATATAATTATATAAAATATATTAATGACTTCATAAATGTCATTAAAAAGTCAATAATTAGCCGAGCATGGTGGTTCATGCCTTTAATCCCAGCACTCTGGGAGGCAGAGGCAGGCAGATCTCTGTGAGTTTGAGGCTAGCCTGGTCTACATAGTTCCAGGTCAGCTGGGGCTACAGGGATCTCAAAACAAACAAACAACAAACAAAAATGTCAATAGTCAATAGGTGTGGTAACATACATCTTTAATCCCAGCACTCAGGCAAGTGGATTGCTGAGTTAGAGGCCAGCCTAGTCATAAAGACTTCCAGTCCAGCTGGAGATACAGAGTGAGACCCAATCTCAAACAAACAAACAAACAAACAAAAAACAAGCAGTCACTTTCCTATGATCATTCTGATCATGAAAGTCCTGGGTGGAAGGTTTTATGCTATGCACTGGCTGCTCTAACTTGCTCAGTCTGTGGCATACAAGCTCCTTATTCAGCCTCCACCAGAGACATGAAAAAATACGCAAAACCAGCACTGTTTTAATTAAGTCAGTTAACTTTTCTTTTCCATATTTCTTAGCTCTCTATATATCTTTCCTCTGTGGTATTTTCTTGTATATATTTTTCTTTTATGTATTAAGTCTTCATTATTATTACAGTAAGAACACAGAGTAGATTTCAGCAAATTTTAAACATACAATATTGTTAACTATGTCAAAACTAAGTATGTTGTAACAATGTTGTACAACTTCTTCATCTTACATAACAAACATACCACTCAAGTGGCAACTTCGCATTCCTTGGCAACCATCACCAAGGCCCAGAATCCACTACACTCTGTTTCTATGATTTGCACTACTTTAGACACCCAATGTAAGTGGAAATCAGAAGCACTGTATTCTTTTGTGAAAGTTGTGTATGCTTTCGTGTGTGTGAATGTCGTGTGTGCCACAGTGTGTATGGGAGCTGGGGGGTGGTCTCAGCTGCTGGTCCTCATTCCTCCTTGAGATTTTCCTCAAGACAGGGTCTCTGTAGTGCCTTTCTGCTGTGCACACTAGGCTAGCTGGCCCAGCAGCTTCCAAGGATTCTCCTGTCTTCACTTCCCGTCTCCCCAGAGGAGGGTTGAACATATACGACATGCCTGGGTTTTACTTGGGTTCTGGAGATTTGAACTCAGGTCCTCACACTTGCTCAGCAAGTATTTTATTCAGTGATCCATTTCCTCATCCACATTTCCTTCATGTTTTTAAAGCTGAATACTAGTCTATTTTATGTATATGCCACATGTTATTTGTCTACACATCCACTGACAGACATGTACACTGTTCTCACATTTGGGTTATTGTGAATAATGGTGCAAAGAATGTGAGAGATCTGGTCTCCTTTCCCAGATCCTGATTTCACTTTGCTGAATAAACCCTTACTGGGTGTATGGCTCGCAAGCAGTCCTTCCACCCCGCAGGGCATCCTTCCTTCTCTGTATCCCTTGGTCTGCATCAAGGACTAGCTTGGTACAGCTCCACTTGACTAGTTTTGCTTTTGTTACCAATGACAAGGCCACGAAGCTTCCCCTTTCATTTTCTAAGAGCTTTCCAGTTTCAAGTCTTCCTTTAAATCATTTTGGGTTGTTTTCTGTGTACCAGGTGAGATGAGGGCTCAATTTCACTTCAATATGAGGACATCCAGTTCCCCGACCCCCACATACACAGTATTTGTTGTAGAGATTATGGTTCTCCACTGAGTACTTTGGTCCTGTCAAAGCTCAGTGGACTGATCCACAGGTTCATTTCTGGGCTGTTTCATTTCATTGTCTGTGTCTTTAAGCCAGTTTCACATTAGCTTTTTTCTTTTCTTTTTTTAACCTTCAGCTCCAGTTGGTCTGGAATTCCCTATCTCGACCAGGCTGACCTTGATCTGACATAGATCAATCCACCTGCCTCCCAAGTGCGAGAATTAAAGGCTTGCACCAGGCTTCACAATTTTATACAATTTTATGGATCTGAAATGAATTGTGATTCCTCCAGCTTTTTTCTTTCTTTCACAAGGTTGTTTTTGGCTATCTGAGTTCCTGTGTGAACTGCATGAGCGTTTTTGATATAGGCTCCTCTGGATAGTGAGGCTGTCTTTATCTTGATCTGAGAGTGTTACATAGCACAAACTTATTGGCATTGCCTAGATTTGTTTGTACTATTTTTTGTAATGATTTTGACACAGGGAAGCTTAAAATATTTGTTGTTAAGCTGGGCATGGTGGTGCACGCCTGTAGTCCCAGCACTTGGGAGGCAGAGGCAGGTGGATCTCTATGAGTTCAAGTCTACCCTGGTCTACATGGTGAGTTCCAGGTCAGCTGGGGCTACAGGGAAACCCTATTTCAAAAAGACCAAAAAAGCATTTGCTGTCATAATTATTAATCTCTTCTATTATACTAGTGTTCCTGGAAAGGCCTTTTCTACTCAGCCTAAACTCTCAGCATCATCTTTGCAATCAAAACCCATCAATCTGGAACACATTGATATGCACTGTCTGAGGAGATCTAGCTCCTGGTCCAGAAGGTAGCCAATGTCCCAGTGAGATTTACTAAATGATCCATTCCTTCTTCTCCTAATACAAAGCAGCAAATTTCTCACATAATGAACAGTATCTGTTCTTTAAGCATGAGAGCCAAGTTGCAGTCGTCAATATGTAATAAGGAAAGACAGCAGGTGCACAATGTGGCAGCTTTGCATCACCTCACCAGAGCTGTTGGCACCCTCAGTCACTTCCCAGCACTGGAGAAAGGAGATGAAGAAAGGCACTCTGCCCTAGGCTATCTTTACACACAGTAAGAGAAGCATTTATACTTCCAAGGCAGACACCACGGCACCTGAGAGGGATGGGGTGTAAAACAATCAGGGAACAGAACAAACAACTCTGATGCATCTGGTATCCCAAACAGCTCCCATGAGGGTTGGAAACACGGTAATAATAGTACGCTGTGGTACGTGACATCTTCCATAAAAAACAGCAAGCAAGTTTTATTTAGAGTCAGCACTGTCCAGAATCTCAGAGCATCATAGCCTTTAAATAAATCATAACAGCTAGAACCCAGGAGGATGGTTCTGGGTTTTAAGTGGCCTTTGCTGCTTGATTTAAGGATTCCAAGTAACTCAACATCCTGGAAAAAAAAAAAAAACTAAAAACTAAGCTACAAAATGTATAAGAATAGTAAACAGGACAGTCTCCCTTATCCCAAAACAGGAGCAGCTATCATTTGTGGGCCTTGGTTGAAAACAGTCTACGATGCCGAAATGATCCCCACACCGGGATTTATTCCTAAATGTTCCCACGCTGCCAAATGAGAAACTCAAAACTCAGACAGGCTTAGCAACCAGCCCAAGGTCAGGACACAAATAGAAAGTGGCAGGACCAAGATTTACTCCAAGGCCCAAAGCCCATTCTCTTCTTGCTCATCTTCACTGGCGGCTGAGAACATGGAATTTCTTTAAAATAGCTAAATACTAAAATAATGCTGGAACATTTCAAATATTATTTCACTCAAATAATTTAAATAACATCTGATGTGGACCAGCACTCTTTTTTATGTTGTCAATAATATCATAAACTAGTATGAAGTTTTTGGAAAACAATTTGTTTATTTCAGTGATTATAAAATGGTTGAATGTTACTGCACACACTGCATGCAGTGGTCACTATATGCTAGTGACAAAGCAGGATTTAAAATATTTAAAAGTTTTTTCTCCTCAAAAAGCCAACACACAGCATCAGTGTTTCCTCATTGGGCTCATGTTAATCCCAGGTCAGTCTCAGACTATGAAAATAACCATCGTGCCTATGACTAGAAAAAAAAAATGCGTGGTTCACAACTGCATCCCAGCCAGTACTGTAAGAGCCTGGATAACCTCTACTTAATATGCTGTGATATGTTCTTTCTCTTTCTTCCCTGGTTTTCTGTTCTAATCTGTGATGGATTTAGAAGCCACATAACTGTGTTACTGCTGTAATATAAAATAGGAGAAGATAGACAGTGCATGGGGGGCCTGATTAGCTACATATAAAATGCGTAAGAATCACAGAAAACCTTTTGCAAACTCTTTCATTTCTCAAGAGATGAAGTATTTGATTCTCAATGTATTTCAAATTGGTTGGCGCTGTACACTGCCTGAGAAATGTATGTCCAATTAAATGGGGAAAACACCAGGAAAATATTAAGATCCTAGGTGATACATAGGGCTAAAACTACATCTGAAGAGTATCTTACAATTCAAGATGATTGCATTTATCTTTGGAAAAGTATTAGTTTCTATTTCATACAGATCATATCAATAAAATCATTTTAAATTAAATTTATACAATTTTATCTGTTATAATAAAATGTCCTTTTCTGTACTAGATGGCTTGTCAGTCATGCTTCCCAAATGTTAATGTAACACTGGCCCATGTCACAAGTAATATTTATGCATTAAAATGTGAAATTTTCTTAAAAGCATACCAATGAGAAATCCCATAAATAAATTTCAGTTTTGGTTTTTGAGACAGGGTTAGTCCCTTTAGCCCCAGCTGACCTGGAATTCTATACATAGACCAGGCTGGCCTGGATCTCACAGAGATCCATCTGCCTCTGCCTCCTAAGTGATGGGATTAAAGGTGTGTACCACCATACCTGTCTCAAGTTTTTAGTATTTTTAATAATAACATTACTTTTCAAAAGGAAATATTTTTGTCCATTCACTCACACTTAAAGTGATCACTTACCTGAATTAAATGCTGTAAATATACTCTTTCTTGAAGGACCTAAAATATAAAAAAGAAATGCTAAGACACATGTTTTATTAGAAATAACACTGTATGAGGTACACAAAAATTCAGTAAAAAATTTTAAAAAGAAATATCATGCAAAGCCAAACCATTCTGTAAATAAGAAGTAATTTCATTTTCCAAGAGCACTCCATTAACCTATAAATCTTGGGGTCCATCAAACCACTGAGAAAACACCACTGAGAAGCAATCAGCTTTTACGAAGTGTATTTCAAATACGGATATTCTAAGTGTCATGAAAATGTTAGTATAAGAGTGACATGAATTACCAAAAATTAAATATCAATTTTAAAAGGACAAGTCACAGTATATTTTGCAATCACAGACAATTAAAAGTTCATTCAAATTTTAATTAATTAATTAATTCATTCATTCATTTATATTGGTGATTGAATCTAGGCCCCACTGAGTCACATCCCAGTCCTGAGACTCATTCTTCAGCAATACTAAATTCCTACCTTCCCTTCTGTACTGCCCAGAGGAAAACAGCTAAACTTTAGGAAAGATGGCCACTGGTGTGTACTTTCTGAAGGGGCCAAATTCTATTCAGCCATGAGAAAAATACACTTAGGCTTTTTCTCCAGACTGATGCAACATAAAATGCAACCAGGAATGGAAAAGGTAGAGAACAAGAAGAAAACTACAAGTGTCTACACTTAAAACAAATCGTCACCAGAATAACCATCTGTAGATGACTGTTAGAACTGCCATTGTCCATCTGTGGAATTTTACAGAGATGGTACTCTCTTGAAAGTGTGTGGCCATTATGAATGAGAGCCATTGATTCCCTCGCAAATGAAACCTCTGGGAGACAACACTTACAAATTCAGTAGTAGGGCCCTTCAGAACTGGAGTTGCTTTGTTCTCTAGTCACCAGTGGAATCTCAAATTCTCCTTCTCTGAAAGTTACCTCTGTGGATCAAAGCTCCACAGAGGTTATGTTTAGTTACTGTTCAGGGTAGTATGGGGCTTAAGCATCATGATAAAACCACACTTTCATAACATGCCATCCAGGCAAGGGCTATCTGATGCCTCAGAACTGTAAAAGCCTGGAAAAACAGGGCACCAATGGGACACTGGAGGCTTTTTCCCAGAATTTTTCCTCAATTGTTTTCATCGACCCAGTAGAAAGAAAAAAGTGTTCCTGGTATTGACTAGGTTAGTAACCTCAAGTTATCCCACGATCTTTTACATATGTGTATACATACAAATGTAAAGTAGAAACAACTGTACCCGCCCAATTTTTGTTGAGACAAAAACAAAACCGTGGTTATCTGCAGAGGGAAAGCTGAGAAGGTTATGCAGTGGTGATTGGCGGCTGCTTTCCAAATTTCCTAACATAAATATGGTCTCACTGTATGGGTCATTTTTCCCATTCACAGTTATTGTTTCAGTTAAGCTTTCGATGAACTAGGAGCAGCAGAGAGAAGCCCTCCTCAGCTTCAGGCACACAGTGACGAAAGCACTGCATGTTACCTACACACCACGTGCTTTATAAACCCCCCAAATTATTCTCAGTAGCTATAGTAACTGCAAAGGAAATGACATAGCAGTTCAGACATAAAGAGCTGGGAGAAAAGAGGAACAAGAACGTGGCCTTGATCAAAGACAAGAAAGTAACAAACGACACACAGGGAGGCGGAAATAAACTATGTACTTACTACCTCTCTCTCTCATCTAGAGAGTGACCTTATATTTTAATTCTACAAGTTTTGTTATTTTCATCTGACATCCTTGTTTTACCTGCTGATTTTTATGTAATAAGATTTATCTATACAACTTGCTGACTTTTGAACAAGAGCATCTCATTATAAAACTATATTGTAGGGCTGGAAAGAGGTTAAGAGCACTGATTGCTCTTGCAGAGGACCTGGGTGGATTCCCAGCACCCACATGGTGGCTAACAACCATCCATAACTCCAGTTCCAGGGGATCTGGTGCCCTCTTCTGACCTGCATGGGCACTGCATGTCATGGGTGCACTTACACACTCATACACATAAAATAAAAATAAATATATTTTAAAATTACATTGTAATCTCTTTATTCAGCAGGCTTCTAAACATGTAAATTGTTAAATATACTATAAATATACTTGTCAAAATTTAACTTCCTGGGGCTGGAGAGATAGCTCAGTGGTTAAGAGTGCTGGCTGTTCTTGCAGAGGACCCAGTTTCAATTCCCAGCACCCACATGGCAGCTAACAACCACCCATAACTCTAGTTCCAGGGGACCACAGGCATTGCATGACATGGGTGCACTTACACACACGCAGGCAATCACTCATACACATAAAATAAAAATAATATATAAAAAAATTAACTTCCAAAAAGCTAAGGACTTTAGAATCCTTTTGCTCTTTCTATCACACAATGAAGACTGTACCTTTTGGAGGAGTTTTGAGCAAGTGTGCATGAGTTCTGGGTACCAAAGTCTTCAGATATAAGGATCCTGACCCATTCTGAAATGCTTGTTTGGGAGGTTTGTCCTCATATTTGATGACAGCAGCATTACCAGCTGTATAAGACAGAAAAGTACATCTTATTTAATACACAGATACAGTACCAACCTCCCACACGTATCTCTTCCTCCTTGAACCAACAAATGATCACTAAGTAACTACAACATGCCAGTCACTACAGAAATACAAGGAAACGCAAGGGTAGTTTCTGTCCTCAGGTATGCAAAGCAAATGATGTGCCTGAAATGCAGAAGCACACACTTTGTTTTCCTGGCACAGTTCAATTCATACACTTTTCCAGATCTGCTTTCATCTCAGAGAGGAGGTGGAAGATAATCACCTACCCATGTTGTGCAACAAACATGCCCAATGTGTACACGGGAATGCATCCCTCTCCATGAGGACAATGCAACTACAAGCTGCCTATGCCAATGACCCAACTCCTATGCAGCTGCAAGGATAAGATCTGCTCTCCTCAGAGGGTGCTTGGTTTGCAGGACTGCCAGCTTCCACCCTGTGACAAAGGTATCCAGCCCCAAAGTGAAAAACATTGAAGGGATTCCCACCTAAATAATGAACGTCCATATGGAAATGCAAAAATTTCCCCTCCATTAACAAACTTTTTTTTTTTTTGGTCTTTCAGAAACAGGGTCTCCATATAGCCACAGCTGGCCTAGAACTTGCTAGGTAGACTAGGCTGGCCTCCATCTCAGAGATCCACCTGCCTCTGCCTGGGATTAAAGGTGTGTGCCACCATGCCTTGATCAAACTTGGTTTTTCGGTGTTTCTAAAAATCATCAACACCTAATTCCAGGCATCCGAGTCTATTCTACCATCCAATACACAGTCATACTTCTTTTTCATTTTAATGTGGAACACTTCATGAATTAGCGTGTCATCCTGTACAAGCCATGCTAATCATCACTGTAGTGTTCCAATTTTAGGGATGTATGTGCTGCAAGTGAGAATGTAAATGTCTTTACTACCAACTTGGACCCTCTTCTCTATCTCATACTTCTAGCAAAGGATGATATGTGTCCCTTATTCACAAACACACTAATGTGAAGACAGCTAGAAAGTTTTCAGTAGGCTAAACCACCTCAGTCCTCCAACAGTGCTTGTAGAAGTCACATTCTCCCTGGTCCCCATCCAGTTCCTGTCCAATGAGCCATCTGTTAGTCCTCCTTATGCCCAGATAACATTCCTAATATTAGGTCAGATCAACCCAGAGCCTCCTCTCCCACTGACAAGCTACTTCCTACTTCCTGTCCTTCCATCCATTTCTCACAGTCCCCAGAACCAAGGGACTTGGGGTTTCCAAACGTCACAGGAAGCTAATAGATATGGTGGTATAGAATTCAACATAGCTTTCTAAAGGACAACAGGGAATGACTTCACAGTCTCAAAATGACAGAACCCAAATTTCAGAGCATGTATTTTTAGACTTTCACATAAAGTGGGTACTGGGCTTCAATAAATATGTTATGAAGATAAATCCAATCAATAAAGTCCTATTATTACAACACTGATTTCAGGCTTGTTTTTCTTGAAGAAATTGTTGTTCCCCTTAGTACCAAGTAAGCCACTTGTTCAGATTTTGAAAAATTAAACTCAGTTCCATTTATGGACCTAACACAAAATTGTATAACTCCCAGGACTGGAGAAATGACTCAGCAGTTAAGAACATTGACTGCTCTTGCAGAGGACCTGGGTTCAGTTCCCAGAACCCAAGTGGCAGCTAACAATCATCCATAACTCCAGTTCCAGGGGATCTAACGCCCTCTTCTGGCCTCCTTGAGTACTGCATGACATAGGTGCACTTACATACATGCGGGCAAGACACTCATACACATAAAAATTAAAATAGTTTTAAAAATAAAACACCTTTAAAAAAATCAAAATTGTGTAACTGTTTTGCTTTTCTAAGCTTTACACACAAAGACCTCCAGTTTACAAAGAACCTAGTGAAAGGGCTTCTCACTGAAGCAAACAACACATTTCTCATGAGGCATGAGACTCCTGGTCACTGGCTTTGAGACATAGAACGGGAATTGTTTTCCTGGAAATAAACCACCTCAGTGCCATCTTTGAAGGCTCAAAATGACAGTAGACCCTAGCACCAGATTCATCACCAACTTTGGAACAAAATCCACACAGTCATACTTCTTTTTCATTTTAATGTGGAACACTTCATGAATTAGCACCAACCTCCCACAGATTCATCACCAGATTCATCACCAACTTTGGAACAAAATCCACATTTCAAGGATAAAATACACTGAACTCAGATGCAAATATACATATTTACATTTTTATACATTCTCACATATTTATGGGAAATACATACACGTGTTAAGCATCCACACTCTGTGTTTATGTATTATATGTGCTTCCACTTCACTGATGGCAGGCACCATGTGTGATAAAGTGAACACACTTTTCTGACCCAGCACAACATTTTTCCTCTAAGTTTCAAAATACTTTTTACTCTTGACTAGCGTGCTGCTTTTTAGTAAACTCCAACTTAAAGGGTGAATATTACTAAGAGGCACAAAGCCCTCAAGGTATTCCTAACATGGCAGCTGCTCCAGTACCCTGTCAATTTCTAATGTTTTTCTCCCCCAGAGCTGTCCCATTACACCACCATCTTCAGTCCTGTCTTACTTATGCTAGAACAGAATTTTCCAGAATCTTTCCTTAGCCCAAGGTATGTTTCAAGTAAAATAAGCAGCAAAGATGACCGAACCGAAGAGGAGGATGAAGTGACAGTCTTGGGAAAATCAGAAATAATTTCCCTACTGGAAAAGAGCTCCTCACTGATCTCAACATTTAACTGGAGTCACATTTCATACAACACTCTGGCATCTAGTTGAAATGAGTTTTTGTTTTATTACATTACCATACATGCACAGAACCAACACTCTGTTCATTTCTGGAAATCTCTGTGAATCAGTTTAACACTCTCCACTGTGCCAGATCATCTGCCCACCTGGCTTAAAATCAAATCACTGCTGAAGTCTCAGCTTCTAAATTTCAAAAGCAAAATCACTCAACTTCTTAATTACAAGAATGTCTCATATATCCCTTAGAAAGACATTAGAAGAGAACAAACAAAATTAATAGTGGTCTGGATAGTTCCTTATTAAGTAGTCCAGTCAGAAGTATGGAAGAACTAACATGTCTTGTAACCTGAAGCCAGCACTGCATACTGCCCATCTCTCTTCTACTCCATGCCCATGGCAGATATCACTAGTTAAACATAAAATTTTTCCTCTGAACCTGGCGGAAGCCTGAGAAAGTATCAACACTTTATTAATTCTTATTTACTGACTGCACAGTGCTGTCTAATGGGACCATATTCACTAATCATTTCTGTCACAAGAAAAACAAAACTGAGGATCAGGAAGATTCATACTTCTGCCCACTTAATCAATTGAAAAAATCAGAAAACTTCCCTTGCCAATGCTTAGGCACCATCTTATTGCAGAAGTCAGAGATGAACCGCTGGAAGAATACTGAGGATGGTCCAGTCCTCCCTTCCCAGTCATCCGATAAGAAGACTGACGGATGCTTCTCAGGAGTTAGCAGAAAACTAGAACACATCCCGGGTGACTGTCCATTCCTATAGCTCACTCCCTGCCTCCCAGGCTGCCATCAGAATGCAGGAGAGAATGGCCCGTTTCCTTATTTAGTCCTTCTGATCTTCGAGTTCTGAGAGAATGCATCTCTGCCATTGCCCCACACATCTGTCTCTCAAAAATAAACATGCTTTTGTAGCCAAAGCAAAAGCGGAAGGAAATCTTCGTATCCTCCTAACATGGCAAAATCAAACTTCCTCAAGAACAACGTCCAAATTGTACTAGGGTCTATAAACCGTCAATTCTATTCAAGTCCTAAACCGTGTCATCTTTATCCCCTTATTGAATGATCTTGAAGCATAGACAGTAAGTACATTTCACTGTGCAATGTTTTACACTAATATCCAAAGGCAGTCATTATTTTGACTTTAAATTATTCTGTGTTTAAAAGAGCATACATAAAGAAAGTGCTGAAACTCTAAGAAAAATTGCCTCATACATCTTCATTCAACCAATTTATAACCTGGTAGCATTGTTTCTAAATGTAGGACTCCGAAGTACCAAGGACTGGATGCTAATTTCCCAACAGCACTAAGCTCTCTCTGAAGTTCTTAAGTGATGCCACTAGACTAACAATACAACATGACAAAGGAAGGGAGGCGCGGAGAGAGCAGAGGACACCACCCTTCAGAAAGGCTCAAATGTTTACACCAGTAAGAACCAGAGCACTGATCAAAAGAGGAAGTTAGTGCCAACATAACCCTCCCTTATCAGGACAATTTTAGCTCCAAATGATTTTCATATTTAAGGTATTTTTTTAAAAACAAAAAGATACATATATGTTTAATATCTTTATATGAATGATATAGTAATCAAAATCAAAGAAAATAACCAAAAATGTGATGATTCAATTTAAATTCTAGGAAAGTATTTTTCTGTATTTACACAAACTATAAGCTACACATACAAAATCTGTTTAAGCAGAAATCAAATCATCAGATAGTCCTCTTTGATAATAGGATAATTTCATGTGCCAAGAACATTGATAAGCTGAATTATATTTAGCTAAGTCCCCAAACACAGAAAGTACACAATAAAATTGGTTCCAAATAGATACATTCACGTTAAATATACATGAATATAACCAAGAAATACTAGTGTCAATATAAATTACAAGAAACAAAGCTAATAATCAAGATGTCCTACAATTTATTGAATAAAAATTGAAGCATGCTTACAAAGAAAGGAATCAAACCAGAAACCGTCGACCTACTTCTTTTCCTAGTAAGCGTGGCTAACAAAGGAATTATACAAAGGCTGTAGGATCCCAGGACCAGCAGTGCCAATAAGGTAGCATCATAGTGCCTCTCTGAGCCAGCCGGGGGGGTGAGTGTAGAATTGATAAAGATCGTTGACGAAATATCAGTTTCTGTACAACTGCGAAATCCTCCTGGTATAGTCATTTAAAAGGATCAAAGCAAGCTCAGGCAGGAAAAACTGCAGCCATGTTCACGCTCAGACCCCTCATGCCTGCTCTTAGAGAATTAGACCGGAGGGGGGGAAAAACCCTGTGAGCTCCAAGGCACTACACAAAACAGATTAAACCAGCTAGCAAATCAAACCAAGAGACTCACTGATGTGACTGTTAATCTGCAAGAGGGACACACCGCCACTAGGCAGGCTCTGTGGGTGCACGGTAAACCCCTTTGTTAACAGACAAAAAGGAATGGACAAAAGGATTTCACAACCTCCTTGGGAGGGTCGGGTACGCTACTCAAACAGTGGCCAAGTCAACATGGCTGTCGATGAAAATGCTCGGTATGTTCGGTCCTGTGGATTTTGTCTGCTCCGAGTGTCACAAATGTCATGACTGTGGCTTTTGGGGCTTCTTGGAGATTCTGTCTAGGCAGTCTGTTTTTTTTTTTTTTTTAATTCACACTGTTGGGCAGAGAATGTGTGAATCATATTTTCAAATCCACAGAGAATTATTTGTTACAAACAAACCCTCCTGGGGTTTTTCCCAGAACTTCATTACTTCAAATAAGCAGATAATAGCACTGTTTAATTTTAATAACATATTCCAGTATTTGTCAAGTACCCTAAGCAGCTATTTTCTTGCCTACTGTTGCTGCTAAGTGACCTATTCAAAATGAGATCTTTGTCATTAACTCAATGCCTAGTCTCCATAAACCATTCTGTTACATACTTGCTGTGTGACTTTGGACCTATAATAGTCTCTGAGCCTCAATTATGTCTCCTAAATTTAGAAACTAGATAACAATAAAAGGTATTGGAAGGTACCCCTAATGATACTGCTCTGCACGCAAAAAGATTCAACGACTTTGTCCCAATAGCCTCACCAAAAAAGAAATGGATTTGTCTTTAAAGCAGAGATCACATCTCCACTCTTTCTCACAAACTTATATCTTGTTTTAACTTACATTGTAGTCATTGATGCTAATCTTCTTTCTCCGACTGTCTTTATTTTAATCTATTATTATCATTATTATTTTTATTAGAGACAGGATCCTAAGGTAGCCCCACCTGGCTGAGAACTCTCTATGTAGATCAGGCTGGACCAGATCTCAGAGATTTGCCAACCTCTACCTCACAAATGCTAGTATTAAAAGGTGTTTGCCACCATGCCAGCCCTCGCTTGTTTTTAAGGACCATCTCTTTTGTGTCCTGTTTTCTGCACCTGTCACCATAGGTACTCCAAAACTGTTTCAATTAATTCATGAATTATTTTGTGAGGAAATTAAAGGAGGAAATAAGAAACCAAGAATTCAATTCAAGCCAGGCATGGTGGTGCACGCCTTTAATCCCAGCTCTTGGGAGGCAGAGGCAGGAGGATCTCTGTGAGTTCAAGGACAGCCTGGTCTACATAGTGAGTTCCAGGACAGCTGGGGCTACAGGGAGACCCTGTCTCAAAAAGAAAAAAAGAAACAAAAACCAAAAAATAAAAAACCCACCCAATCCCAATAAATCTTTTGAAAATTTTCACCCACGTTATATGCAGAAGAGAGAATTCATATTAACTAAAAACTTTTAAAATAGTCTCCGGAGTTTAAATTATTTACAATTAAGCTTGCAATTGTATTATCTGTACCACACTCATCTAGCATCCAAAGTAAAAGACTACAAAACACTGCCACAAGACACCATTTTCTTTTTTCTGTCTCTTTGAGACAGGGTCTCCCTATAGCCCCAGCTGTCCTGGAACTCACTATGTAGACCAGGCTGGCCTCGAACTCACAAAGATCTGCCTGCCTCTGCCTCCCAAGTGTTGGGATTAAAGGCATGTGCCACCACGCCCAGCCAAGACACCTTCTTTTACAAAGTAAATAAAACTGCAGTCATAGTTTTTTCTGATTTCCAGTTGAGTTCCAGGAGCCCCTAGTTACTATTCTTTTGTAAACAACCCTCCAAACACCATCAGTTCAAATAGCACACTTTTAAGCGTCTTCATACAACAGGTGCCATCAACACGTAATTATTTTAGTGTTTCCCAGGATGCTTATCCAAAGAAATTTGTTTCTAAAAATGTTTTCCTGTCAGACTTACTGAGCAATTCCAAAAAGCAACATGTAAATTTCCCACTAAATACAGAAACAAAAATTCTATGAATAATTTTTAGAACACTAGTTTGTCTCATAACTGCTGTTTCAATAGCCCCCAAAGTTTGACCTTAGACTGACTTACAATTATTGCTGCAGGTGCTGAGATCACTGTGGGTGCTGGCCACCGACCGGGTGCTTCCTGCCCTCTGCAGCACAGAGCTTTTCAAAGATGCTTTGGATTTAGGAAGTGGCCTAGGTGAATTCACCCAAGATGGTTGTGCAGTTTTCAAGCATGTAGGCTTTCCTTGGGATTTAAAAAAAACAAAACGAGTTTCACAGATATCCGTCTTAAAAGCTTATACTTTAAGCTTATACACTCAAGCTTCTAGGCCAGCTAAGGAATTCGAATGTACAATGGATGCTCAGAGCCGTAATGCTTCAGATGAAAGCTTCACAAGTACTTACTTGTTTTTAATAATTCAGAAGCAGAAGAGCAGAAAAGATGATGCCATTAGGCTATGAGAGTGTGGCTGATACCCTCTCACCTGAAGCAAATCACTTGCACATCTTCTCCGAAGTGGAAGATAGATCAGAAGAATCATGTGAAAAGGAAACTTTGGGCCAAAATTGAAATCAAAGCAGAAGCAAATTGATATGATACCGCTCCAACACTTTAACATGTCAGTGAACAAATTTCTCTCTGCACACACGAGGTAACCATACATGAGAATGAAAGATGTGCAAATTTAAAAGCACCCAAACGGAAAGGAAAATACAATCGGAGAAAACTTTCATAAAAGCCTAATTCTGAACACCAGGTGGCGCTGTGTTGCTATTCTGTTTTTCCATTTTAGCACCAGCTTATCTGCAAAATTTACTTGTGAAGAATGTTCCTCACTCACGTTTCTGTGTCACCGTATTAAGGTTTGAAATCCTCCACAATGCATATGGGCTTCCCATCCTCTGATGTTTTGACACCACACTTCCCAGGCTAAATTCTTCAGTCACAACTGCTCAAACTCATTCTCTTGGAAAGTCTATTCCATTTACTTTACTCAGTGCCTTATATGTGAAAGAACCTCAAATTCTCAATCTTAGTTCCACTTTCCTAAACCCCAGCCCCACTCACATTGTGAATTCCTTAAGTGTTTTAACGTGGACACTCTTGCTTATTTGCATCATTATATCTCTATTTTTCTTCCTTTTTTTTTTTTTTTAAAGCCTTAAAACACTGGAACTGAATTTTCTCCACTGAATCTGGCACTGTCTCTCAAGGGTACACACACTGCTAGTATCACAGACCTAAAGAACAGCAAGGGCTGGGAAAGACCTTTGAGGAAAATGATGCTGTCACATTTTGCCAAAGGCACTTTATGCTCATTACATTGTCCCTAGGTCAGGCATCTGAAGTTACCCACACTGAGGCTCTCAACCTTCCTGGCCTTACCCCACACTGATCTCTGACATTATGGCATCTTCTGCAGAAACGACCTTTCTTGGTCTCTGACACAAGAACATACTATGTGCTGTTCTACTTCATTGGAAATATCACTTCTGTTCAAAGAGCCCTTTTCAATCTAATTCCTGCAAATCCTTACCCTTTCTTTCTCATCTAGGTAACTGCAGTCAACACCTAGAGCCCTGTCCTCCCAAACCCTTCCAACTCCATCATGTTGCCCCTCCTGAGCAACATCATTAAGGCCATGACTCAAGCTAATATTTGGAATTCTGCATTACCTACAGGGTAATGGTGTTATTAAAATGTATTAGTATTTAGTTTTAAGGGCATAAAAGACAGTCCTAATATGAATTTCTGCCAGTCTATCCCCTTTAAATTATGTGCTTACTTCTACACACACATACACACACACACACACACACACACACGAGAGAGAGAGAGAGAGAGAGAGAGAGAGAGAGAGAGAGCTGTATTCTCCTCTAATCACTCCTTATGACTAAAATGACCTCCAGCCCCATTTTTTCACCCAATGAAAACAAGCTGGAGACTCTTCTCGACCCTTGCTGCTTCTGTGGAGCTCTATGAGAGGTCTTCTGAATGGCTACCTGCATTCTGACAAGATCTCACAAATGATTAAAATATAAATTAAGCCAGGCCTAATGATACATGCCTAGAATCCTAGTTACTCAGGGATCTGAACAGGAAGATTTTAATCTCAAGGCTCCCTGATTTACAGGCCAGCCTGGGCAATTTAGTGAGACCCCATCTCAAAAAGTAAAAACAGGTCTGGGATATAGTTCACACGTTCAGCACTTGTCTAGCACATGAGAGGCCCTGAGTTCAATCCCCAGTACTTTAAAAAAAAAATCCTTAACACATTATAAAGAATCAGGGCCTCTCCATGAGCCTCTCCAGCCAGGTTGCCCTCCTCTGTGCACAGTGGAACCTGTTATCCTTTACCCTCATCCCTCCTCCTTACTTCATGAGCCTCATGTGTCTGCTGGACTAGTCTCCAAGGTCCTTCCCAACAGAGGAGTTCCTAATTCAACTCTGTCCCTTATTTTACAAAGCCTGGAGTACAGAGTGGGCCTTAGCAAGCATTTTCTGAATCAATTTTCTTTCCATGCCAAGAGTAAATGACTAAGTCTGATAATATGTTCTCTCTCCATCCACAGAGACATTAAATACTTCACTCTTTTTTACACTGTTCAGTCCATTAATCAGAAAAAGGGAGCCACTCTTCACACTGTATATCATAGTTAGCAAACACCCATTTGACCTTTTCTTTGTATTTGCCATCTGTCTTCCATCCGTTTTACTTGCTTTTAGAAGAACACGAACACAGACTTTTAAAATACAAATTTACCAAACTGCTGCCCAAAACCATCCTGACTAACTCATCTCCAGAAACAACGAACAGGCTTGGGCAAGGAATGAATGCATCAGTTTTTCTGGGCCACAGCTACAAGATAATGAAGGTCTGACAAGTTCTGAAAAGGCACACATTCCTCAGGAAGCCATGTTTCCTGGCCCCTGCTCAGCTTGCTTTCTTATATAACACGGGACCACATGCATGGGGGTGGCACTACCCACAGTGCACAGTGGGCTGGGTCCTCCCACATCACTCAACAATCAAGAAAATTCCCCCACAGACTTGGCCACAGACCAGTCTGATGGAGGAAATTCCCCAATTGAGGCTCCCTCAACCCAGGTGTGTCAAGTTGACAACTAAGGCTATCCAGCACAGGTGCCTGTAGCTTTGTGGGTTTATTTCCAGGTTCTCTATTCTGCTCCATTAGTCTTCCTGTTTGATGTGAATACTAGGCTGTCTCATCACTCTAGCTCTGTAGTATAATTTGAAGTTGGGAATTATGATCCCTCCAGCTGTGTTCTTACTCCTTAGGATTGCTTTGGCTATTAACAGTCTTTTCTGGCTCCATATGAATTAGGATTATTTTTTCTAGATCTCTGATCCCATTACCCCCAGCTGGCCTCGTACTCACCTGCCTCTGCCTCCCAAGTCCTGGGATTAAAGGCATGCACCACCACACCTAGCCTCTTCTATTTTTTTTAAATCCCCATCTCTTGTCTAATTGCTATAGCTAAAACTTAGAGGGCCATGTTGAATAAAAGGGAGTGGGTGTCCTCATCTCCTTCCTGATTTTAGAGGAAATGTTTTCAGTGTCTCCATTTAGCACAATATTCGCTGTGTTTCACACATGTAACTCTTATTTTAAGGCATGCTGAGCACCCTCAATACATAATAGTAAAATTAACACAAGGTTTGGCACCAGCCAGTTATATTATATCATATGTAAGGTACACTTGCAGAAATATTGATATCGTTTAAGTTCACACAGTTAATGCATGCACATGCATGCAAGCACACGCGCGTTCACACGCACACACATTTGTTTTGATTCTAACAATTACAATAACCTCTTTCCTGGGGAAAAATCAGGAAGAAATAACATTTGTGCTTTGCCCTATATAGTAACAGAACCCCTGGATTTGAAGGAGATACACACACACACACACACACACACACATATGTGTGTGTGTATATATCCTCATGCACCAACCAATTTATGAGGGTGGAGCTCAGTAGCTGAGGGTTTGTTCAGCATAAATAAGGACCTAGGTTCAATCCCCATTACCAATAAATAATTTTTAAATTTTCTGTGTATGAGTGTATTGCCTGCTTGTATGTATGTGCACCTATGTTGTGTATCAGTAATTTTTTTATGCATATGAGTATTGCTTGCATGTATATAAGTGCACCCATTCGTGTAGTGCCCTCGGAGGATAGAAGAGGTCATGGGATCCCCTGGAACTGGAGTTATGGACAGTTGTTAGCAGCCATGTGGATGCTGGGATATGAACCTGGGTCTTCTGCAAGAACAACCAGTGCTCTTAAGCACTGAGACATCTTTCTAGGCTCAAATAATTTTTAAAATTCTACCAATGTACTAAGAAACACCAGCTATTAGAATCATCTTGGAAAAAAAAACCCTAAGAATACTATATGCAACAACAAAAAGTCAATAAAGAAAAATGCCCTGCAAAAATAAAACTCTGGGGCTAGAGAGAGAGCTCAGTGACCAAGAGCGAATACTCCTTTGTACAATAAGTTCACTCCCAAGTACCCATTATCAGGCAGGCAGCTCACAATCACTTATAACTCCAGCTGCAAGGGAGATCTGTCACCTGGGGCTTCTGCAGGTGGCTTCTACACACATACACACAATTAAAAATGAAATATTTGGGGTGGGGAGCTAGAGAGGTGCCTCAGCAGTTAAGAGCACGGCTTCTCTTGTAGAGTACCTGGGTTTGATGCCCAGAACCCACATGGTAGCTAACAACTGCCTGTAACTCCAGTTCTAGGGGATATGACACCCTCTTCTGACCCCCACAGGCATTGCGCTACATGGGTGCACTTACACACATGCAGGCAATACACTCATACACATAAAATAAAAAAGTATTTTTAAATAAAAGCCCAATTGAAAGACTTATTAAGTAAAACAAAGGAAAATTGTAATATCCTCTTTTATTGAAAGAATATAATGATGCTTGCCAGGGACTTGAGGGGACAGAAATGGGGGGAGTGTAGTTAATAGGTATAAAATTTCAGTTACTAGCCATGCATGCTGGGGTGGTGCACACCTTTAATTCTAGCACTCAGGAGGCAGAAGCAGGTGGATCTCTGTAAGATCAAGGCCAGCCTGGTGTACATAGCAAGTTCCAGGTCAGCTGGGGCTACAAGGAAAGCCTATCTTGAAAAGACAAAAAAAATCAGTTATACTAGATGAATAAATTCTGGAGAAAATTTTGAAGATGCACCA